ATAGAAAAATAAGGAGGGTATATAGTGGGAGAAAGAGAAAGCTGAGTGATATATTAACTTGTAAATTAATCTGTTAGTAATGTCCAAATTATCTTCTTAGGCTTCTTCTGTGTGCAGTCAAACTTCTTTTTTATTTTGATCCAGTTAAAGGTATTTTCTATGTTAGTGTGTTAGTAGTGTTCTTCTGTTGTTCTGTTATTAAAATTTCTTCAAGGCGCATTCAGAGTCGCTTCTTCGCGTGCTGGCATCTTTTAAATTCCCAATCTTATGGAGGAGCTTCTTCTGTTTCTCTCTTTCCGGCTTCTTCCAGTCCTCTTTCGGGTCGCTGTTAACACTTTCATTTCATCTGCTATAAATCCTCATTTTTTCATGCCTTTTCAAAAGATCACTAGCTTTGAGAATGGTTTTTTTCATTTCGGTTTCGCTTTTAATCACTCCCATTCTCTTCGCTGGACCTTCCTCAGCAACTGTTGACTTATAAAAGCACTTGCAAGGCACTTTCCCGCTGTCACAGTTCATCTTTTCTCACAATTCCCGTCGGATTCACAGTCTTAAACAGCCCAAACATTAAACAGCCAGCTCTCATGCAGACAAACGCCCAGACCGGAAGTTCCTCCCTTCTTCTCCGTTTGTCTTTTGCCCAGCTCCGACATCTTAACATTTTTGTTTATTTTTAATACAGTTCTTAAAACGCGCTTCAAGAGATAAAGATTTTTTTTCTTACTTTACTCCAAATGCATCAAAAGAAGTCACTACTATTCGCACAGTCCATTCCCCCTCCCTTTTTTTCTCGCTTACGAATGGATTAACCTCCTCGTCTTTTCCGCTGATGGGGGGGGGGGAGCGCTCTTAGTTCTTTTTCTCCGCATTTTGACAACTCACAGTTTAGCCGATCTTTTCTTTTTTCCTTTTATCGGTTGTTCGCTTTATCACTCGGTGACGTCTGGTGGCTCCGCTAAACCCCGTACGGGGTCGCTCACGCAGCAAGGTCCATTGGGGCAGGGCATGACGAGAGCCTCAATTCCCAACCGTTCAGCCGAGAAAGAGATTCCCCCCTAGTGCGCCCTAAAGTGCCCCGGATCCGAGCTCCTCCATTCCTAAGGGGCTCGTTCGGGTCTCCGCTCGTGCGGATTCCCTCCTCCACCCGGGTGGGCGAGACGACCTCGGGAGCGACCCAAGGATGCGTCCGCCATTCGCGGGAGCCAGACCGGAAGCCCCCATATTAAATATTTTTTTAAAGCAGCAACAGGTTTTTTTTGTCAAACTTTTTTTTATATAAAAGCAGCAACAATTTAAATCTCAAAAAAATTGCTGGGGTGTAGAAAAAATGAATGAATCTCCCACAGCTCAGACAAATGGTGGTGACTTAGCCTGGCACCAGAAACATGAAAAAGGTAGCTCCAGATGAGCAGCCTCATAAAGCTCTGCCCAAAAATGCAGTATCAGCGGTGCTGGCTCATACTCCTCAGGAGCAGGAGAAAGAAGAGTCCCTGAATGAATTAATGTTATTTGTGGCAATATTCTGTCAACATGTCAGAGATGAAAGTTTTGGTTAGTAATCCATTTCCAGTTTTGGTTGCCTACAAGGTGATTGGCCTGTGATGTCTAGAAAATCCCATTGATGCTAAGCATGTGGTTTTGGGGGAGAGCAAGATCAAGTTGTGCAAGGAGAACGTGCATTTGTGTGGTGTATCGATTCTAGTTTTTTTGTGGAGGAGTTAGCAATTACCTCCATCCCTGTCTCTGCTGCAGACATTGTGGGAGATGATCTCATCTGAATCTTGCATCATTCACCAGTCGAATGGCCAGGTTTCTCATTCCTGTGCTGGATATATGACAGTATTCAGATCCTGTGTTTCAGATCAAGTAGCTCCCACCGGGTGTTTTGCTTCCCCACCTCCCTCTTCAATCCTCCCTCTGATGGTGGCTGTTATTAGCATAACCTTATTGCTAACCAAGATTGCGAAAGCAGTATCTGAGACCTGAAGGGGGTATATTGTCCTCTCTGTGCATGGCTTCCTACTTTCCCAAATGCAACCAGATGAGTACATTCCCTAAGAGGGTGCCAATTTCCTCTGTGTCCTGAAATTTAGTCTTGCAACAGCAATGGAAATGTAGTTCATTCCAGGAGGGGAACTCTCAAATGGTAGGGTTATTATCTACCTGGAGAGCCTTTAACAGCAAACCAGTTGGTTCCTAATTGGATTTCTTCCATTCTGATGTTTTTCATTAACCCCTTAATTTGGGGATGTCAGTGCAGTCATGGGATTTCCAATTGGATCTGCATTTAAAGGTGGAACAGACGAGAACAAAAGAATTTAAATTTTGGTAATTCTTTGTCTTCTTTCTTCCCTTGGCTCTGATTGTTCATGGGTCACAACTTAAGGTTGTGCTTTCCTTTTTCTCATAACATCCCAGAATCCTGTTGCATTTCATTTGGGCAACCCAGTCCAGCATTCTGCCAGTTTTGCATCCAGAATTTTATTATACCTATCCTTTCCTGTCCCTCTGCTTTTCTTGAAACATCAGGACTGTTTAATTGCTTTTCAGTTTATCTTGACTATGGCTGAAGTTGTCGTTCTCTGCTCTTTCCTGTTTCAGGATGAATCCCATTTTCTTAAGAATGTCAGAACTGCTCGATGCCAAGCCACATTGCCTCTTCTAAAGGTGTGTATCCCAAGATTTTCAAAGGGGGGGGGAGGCTTGGGTTTTACACGCTGGATATTCAAAGTGCCTGATGCATGGGCATGAGTGACAGGAAGAGATGGGAGAACTAAAAGGATTTTTTTAGGACATATGATGCTGTAGTGACAGGTTTGAAAGCAGAGAGAGAATCTAGAGTGAGTGCCAAGGCACAGTGGCTCCTCCAGTACGGAAAACGTCCAAAAGGGACAATAGCAAGTCTTCTCCTTTCTTCCCCCTGTACCATGATTTTCCACAGCTATCATTGTATGTCCTCACATTTTAAAACCCAAGAAAGAAAAAGAGATTAAAAACCAGATCTTCCATGTAGCAGCTGTGGCCTCCAAACACTTAGGTGGGTTTATAGTATCCTTATTTCATGCTGGGTTGAGTTTTGCCTAGAGACTAGTGCACAAGGTAGAATGTAGTTGAGGTATATTTAGTTTGATTATTTGAGCAGATTTGCATGCTCCTTGTAATTTATTTTCAGCTTTTTAGAAGTTCCCTTTGAAGTATCAATATGGGAAGTTCAAGCTTATCTCTTGCTGTAAATGATGTTGCATTTCTTATTCTTCCTCCTATATATATTTTTGCTGGTATGTGGTTGTGTCAGTGGTAAGTGGCTTAGGATGCTTCTTATCTGCCCTTGAGAAGCACTCCTGAGAAGGTCCCCAGTCCATCTGATTCAGCAGTAGCTGGCCTGGTGCTTTTGGGAAACTGTTCCGCAGGGGATGAAGGCACCAACCCTCCCCTGTTTTTTATCCTCAGCGTCAGCTATTCGGAGGCACGCTGTCTCTGAACATGTATCTGTTTCCACTTAAGTTGACAAAATAAGGTGATTTTAGTTTTTGGTCACCTTAAGCTCAGTTTTACCTGAAATAAAGTATATATATCCTAACCTAGCTCAAGCATATAGATGCTTTGCCAGATGAAGGCAAAACAAATACATAATTCTTAATTATTCCTAAATGTCAGAGAGATTGAGTTTGTAAACATTGGGGTATAAATGAATTTCCAGGTCACAGAATCACTTTCAAAGTAATTTTTCCAAGCAAAACAGCCTTGAAGAATTATGATCTGCCTTCTGTTTGCTATAAATATTTATATGTCAGTATCCAAGAGATGGCCTTGGCATCTGGGGGAGATGAACTTTATAATCCTGTCACCCTACAAAATATAGGGATCATGCCCGTGGAGCCATGGGTTTCCCAGTACCAGGGGAAATCTGGCCCCCAGGGACACAATAAAAGTACGTTCCTCCCAATGGTCCCCTGCCCCCATGCGTAACGGTACAGTCTCATATTTACAGGGCTCTTTCATCGGAGACCCGTCCATTTGGGTGAAGACTAAGGCCTCGGCCAACCGGACCACGTCCACGTCCAGGCCTGCGACCAAGGAGGGGTTGGTCAAATCTTGCCCGCATCCTGAATCGATGAGGCCTTGGACCCTAATATGCGTGCCCATGGTGGGGTTCATAATAGTCACAGTCACAAAAAAGAGGAGTGGGTAGCTGCTCACGACTTTAGGCTCCTCCATCGCTGGGTCCTGCTGCTCAGCACCACTTACAGCAAGACTTGGCCTTTTCCCGCTGTCTCCGTCTCCTCCTCCCCACTCGCCTCATTCTCCAACACCTCCACCTTGGCTTGCAGGGCGTGGGGGCTTCTGGCTTTTGCCGTTCCTTTTCTGGGAAGCAAGTCGCTCCGTCGCTTGTCACCTTCTTTCCCCGTCGCTCCTCTGCCCTCTCCCAAGGGACAGCTGTGAAATGGCCACGGTCCCCACATCTTAGGCACAGCCCCTGTTTTATCCGTTGCTCTCTGACCAATGGCAACTGTGGGGTGGCCTTTGCCTTGGGGTGGGGGGGTGCCGGGGTTCTCCCGGCCACTACTGCATTATCCAGCCACATGGTGCGCAAGCGACTCTTGGCACTCACTGCCTCCTGCATCCATGCCACCAAGGTTCTTGGGTCTCAGGTCCCCAAAACCGAGTTTTGAATGTCCACATTCAGGCCCAACCGGTATTGCTGCACGAACACTGGGTCAGTCGAGTCCCGGATTTTGGCCGCTTGCCGGTGAAACTTGGTTGAGTATTCCCGAACGGACAACTTGCCTTGTTTGAAAGTGCGGAGGAACGCCTCCGCCTTTTCGCCTGCCGTGTGTTCTTCGAACCGGGCTCGTAGCGCCCACATAAAGGCATCAACACTCTCCAACTCCACCGCCTCCAGGTTGTGGAGCCCCACATACCAGCTAGTTGCTGCACCCCGCAGGCGGGAAGCGATGAAATCCACTTGATTCTCCTCGTCGGGGAACAAGTGAGCCCAGCGCTTGACAAACCTCATCACCCATACGATAAAGAAGGAAAGGTTCTCCGGGTCGCCATCAAACGTAACATCAAGTAAGTCCTTGGGTCATGGCATTGCCGGCAGTGGGACGGGACCCACTGGCTGCACTGGGGCCTGCTGCTGCCCCAGCGGCGGCGGAGGTGGAGGAGAGGGGGAGGCGGCGGTGGAGCTGGCTGACCAGGTCCCGGGCCCGGCGCCGGCTGGGGGGGGGGATTCTTGGCGGAACTTGTGGGACGGCCAGTTGGGTCTGTACTGCCTGGGCCACTATCCCCGGCAGGTTGTAGAGCAATTTTCCCATGTCCTGCATTATAGTGCAACAGTCCAGTTCCAAAATATCCAGTCTCCCATCCACGTCCCGACCTGGACTGACCAACGATCTCGTTGGGAACGGGATGGGTCTACCCAGGGTCATTCCGAAGTTCCCTGAGCTGGACCGCAGGTCAAAGATACTGTCCCGACTCCTACTCCCTGGGATCGACCAGGTAGTTTGCGAGGAGTCACCCAAATGCCGGCCCCAATTCCTCTCTTTATGGCGGTAGGTCACTCCCAAAATGCACCGGGATGAACGAACCTAGGATGCTGGCCCTCCTGGGCTCGCCGTAGTCACGGGCAACTCCCTATTCCCGATGTCGTTGGAGTGGGGTCCAACGGTGCTGTCGTGGTTGGGGCTGTCACTGGCACCGCCGTAGTAGTTGGGGTAGGCACCGCCATGGTTGTCTGGGTAGGCACCCCTGCCCCACCGGGACCGCTCATCTCGCTCTGGAGAAACTCTGCTCGGAGGAAAAGTGATTCCTAACAATATGACCTAACAATGGCTAGTTAGGTCGTATAGTCTTTCATGACCTGTAGTATGCCTGAGAGAGTGTGAGATGTGCCTGAGGGGTGGAACTCATTCCCCAATTCCCGACCCTGTGCTATTGCTTGTTAGTTCTGGCAAAGGTGTTAACCTGACCAGAAGTCCAAATCTTACCAATAAACCTAATCAAGGACTATTGCGTAAAGAGTGGTTACTCTGGGGTCTGACAAAGGGATTGCAAGGAGGATTGTAATTGCATATCCAGCACAATGGGCATTTAAATCATAGCCAAGATGCAAAGCATGTCAAATAGCCTTTTGCAGACCACATGCTATGAAAATCATTTTAAACCTAGCAAATCATTGTTTGGGGACAAGACACATCTTCATGTTCTTCTTACTTTTTGTTTTTTGGTTATGTTTCTTCTCCATTTTCTCACACGTTGAAGTTATTGGGTGCAGCATTCTGACATATTCATCGAAACGTGTAAATAATGACATATCCATTGAAACGTGTAAATAATTCTTGAAATTCTTTTTTGCCGTTTGTGAATTCACTGCAAGAATTGTGCCACTGAAATTCTTCAGCATTACTTCTACTAGTAACATCACTCAGCTAGATGGGATCAAATTGGCTTCTCAAGAGATAACTAGCTATCTTAGTGGTGGTCTGTGCTAACACCCTTAATTGGCATAATTCCTGGGCCTAAAATATCAACTGAAGTGACTAATGGTATACTCATAAAGATGCTTTCTTGGGAATAAGAGCTACTGAGTAAACTTGAGTGGGCTCTGAGTAGACCTGCTTACGATGGCACATGTCAGAGCCTCAGAATCTACAGCTCTCCTGGGAGGCTGGTTGCATGTTTCTGCACAAATTTTAGTCTATTTCAATTTGGGAAATCACAGAGGAAGATTTTATCAGTATTCTCACTCTGAAATTCTTGGTTCAGGTGAAGTGGAAGACCCTAGGATTTTTTCCCTTCCTTTTTGCCATCAAGTCGCAGCTGACATGGCAAGCCCATAGCGTTTTCAAGGTGGCTTACCATTGCCTGCCTCTGCATAGCAACCCTGGTGTTCCTTGATGGTCTGTCATCCAAATACTAACCAAGGGAGATCCTAGTTACTTTTTGAGATCAGGCTAGCCTGGGCTATCCAGATCAGGGCCAGGAATATATAAAGGTAAAGGTCCCCTTGCTCGAAAGCCAGTTGAGTCCGACTCTAGGGTTGTGGTGCTCATCTCCATTTCAAAGCCAAAGAGCCAGCGCTGTCCGAAGACATTTCCGTGGTCATGTGGCTGGCATGACTAAACACCAAGGCGCACGGGACGCTGTTACCTTCCCACCGAAGTGGTACCTATTTATCTACTTGCAATTTCTTGATATATATATATATGCAAAGGATAATTTCCGTGTTTCCCTGAACATTTCACTGCAGTTCTTGACTTAGTTCCTCCTGTACTGTGTTTATTCCAAAATCTGTTCCTTTTCACAAGGTTCTGACACTTCTAAAATGAACCCATCTAGTTTTTGCATTATAGCGGACACCCCAGCAAGGTCCTAGAGGAGTAACCTAGGAACTAAGCTGGAGGTGTCCAAACCTGGATTTACTTCAAGTATTTGATACAGTAAGGGTGCATTCAGACACACGCCATTTGATCTGGTGTCGTCAGGCTTCAGCAACGGATTTTTTAAAAAATATCTTTATTGGGTTTTAATGCTTAATAGACACACACATACACACAGACAACAATTTTCTCAATACATCACATTGATCCAACAATTTGGTAATACCTAATTAAATTACATATTCTCTCTGTTCTTGTACCAACCAACTATAATATCATCCTTGCATGACACGAGATCCTACCATTTATTCTAATCAAAATTCAAATAGCCTATCTGCTTTTACACCATTACTCCTTTTTTCTTGTCAAAAATTCATAATCAAGCACTAATAATCCTTCAATTTAATAAAAAGACTATTTATTCCTAAACCTTCACCTATTAACTCAGACATAATCACTTAGTTAATTTTGGTTTGCAATATCACAGTTACTACCATCACCAAAAATACTTCAATTCATTTATGGCAAAATCGCAAAAAACATGACCACAAATTCAAACTTATAAGTTTTTACATTCCTATAAATTCACTTCATCCCAAATAAAGGAAAAGATGGCCGACGGCTGGTGAGCGTTTTTTTGTGGCTCCTTTCTTTTTGTTTTATTCTTCTTCTGAATTGCCTCCCTGCTGGATTTACAAGATATATCGTATTGTTAATACTGGACTTGTTCCTTTTGCTCAGCATTTACTTTTCCTTATCAGCTGAGGCTCTTGAAATTGTCTTTGTAACCGAAGCCTAATGGGTGCTGGAAAACGCCCAAGAGATACTGAGGGGGATGGAATTTCCTCCCCTCCAGCACATAAACAAACGAAGATAGATGACTTTTTTGCTGGAGAGATCGCTTATAACATTCCTGTTGCAAATAAATATGCAATTTTAGCTGATAAAACCAGGAGCGAGCAGATAGAAAGTGAAGAGTTTTTAACAGAAGCAGATACTGCCCCTTTAAAAGAAAAAGGAAGCTGCTGTGATTGTGAAAGGCAGCTGGATAATTTAATAGATCTGACTGCTATAACAGTTAAATGTATTCTGAGGCGCCTAAATGAAATTAATGAGAAACTTGGAAAACTTGAGATGATGAGTGGGACAACTAGAGGTTTACAACACAATCCTGCTAATGTGCAAACAATGCCTGGGAGTAAAGAATTACCTTCAGTCTCTTCTTTTCCATGCAAAAGGGATGATGGAAGCTCTAAGTTCCAGCTGGTTTTTCAGCCCAAAAAAAATAGGTTTGACAATCTGCAGATACAGAGGCTGGCTACCTTTATGGAACACAAAACCTAAGGTCCTAAGACACTTGAGCTCGTTATTAGGGAAGAGGACCTTTAGGCTAGACTTGACAGAGCTAGAAATCATTAGCCAACCAGGCCAAGTGCAGAGAGTCCTGCTCACATTTGCAAGTGAGAGGATTCCATCACTAATAATGAGACAGATTGCAGTATTTAAAAGCAAAGGGATCTTCCCGGCTCGTGCCTTTTTGAATACATCAAGACCTGTTCCACTTCTGAGGAAGAACTGTAAGGAATATCAAGCTGCTCAAAACCAGAAGTCTCTGCAACCTGATTTGATGGATTTCTCCAGCCAGAGGGAAGAGGACCTAACAACTAGAGTGGTTGCTATGGCAGTTACTCCCACAGGAAGGAATTTACCTTCAGCAGTCCAAACACATGAAGGCCTGAATCTCGACAATTCCGTAGAGGATGATTTGATAAACTCTTACTCAAATTTACCAACAGAGGACCAAGCTGTGATTGTTAATAGACTTGAGACATTGAGGACTAACCTCCAGTCGCTGGGGAATCAAAGTCGCAACTTCCAAAGAAATAAGGAGAGGCTCCAATTTTGTTAAAAACAAATCCGGATGGCAGCGTCTACAGAGAACATGGTGGCCATGTTCTTCCCCTTCAATCGCTCCTGCTTCAGGGCAGTTCTGGTCACCCACCCCCCGCGCCAGTTATGCCCCCCCCAAAAAACCCACCCCCTGCACCAACCCTCTCTTCGGGAGGGCTGGATGAGTTCTCCCAGATCCCGGGAGACTCGAAAAAGAACGAATATGAGTCGGGCAGCTCGGAGCTAACCGAGCGTCCACCCATCGTCGCGCCGTACTGGAAACGGTCTCTTCAGCAACGGATTTTATATGCACGATCACACAGTCAACATCTGCCTTCCATCCCCAGCTGTTGGTTTCTGGCTCAAAACCCCTTTAACCCAGAGTATTTTGTTACCAGGTCCCAAAGTGGTGTTTTCTCAGCTCTCCCATTTAAAGCCGCATTTCCCCCCTGTGTGATCGCTTCTCCGGTGTCAAGCCACTTCCGGTTTAAACCCCCTCCCCGCTTGAAAGCTGTCCGAGGCTTCCGCTTTTCGCCCGCCATTTTTAAAAATGCATTGGCAGTGTGTGCATAGGCGGAGCTCTGCTACCGTGTTTAGAAAACCAACATTTAAACGGTCACTTGTTTTAGCATTTAGATGAGTTCAGGATCTCACGGAGGCCATTTTCGGGTCAAATGTTTAAAGGGAAGTCTTTTGTTGGAGGGGTTGGATTGATTTGCCCTGGTAATTCTGCTCATGCGCCATGATAGTCCCCCCCCATTCTATGGATGAGTGCCTATGCGCAAACTGAGAAAGAGGAAAACACCCGTTGACGCATGCTCCCGCTGGGGAGCAACGTGACTGCGTGTTGAGGCGGGATAAGGGAGGTAAGTGTGATCGCGATTATCCAGATCAAATGTAATCCGTTCAGAACGGGAACAGTTTAACCCGATCTTAGCACGCTGTCTGACCGCACCCTATGATTATCTAGTTCCTTTGGTTTCAGATGAGGTGCTGCTTCTAATAGTTTGCACTGATGTAGTATTTTTTTTGAATGCTCAGATTATGTCAATCCTTAGAACTCTTAAAACAGCATTGCGGTGTCCATACAGATGTGAGACTGAATCTAAAAGTTTGGCTGGCTGAAGGTCATCAGCCTTCCCATCAGATCTGAGACTTGAAGAAGGTGGTGCTCTACTGCCAGTAGCCTTAGTCTCTTTTGCACTGTTCTATGGTAGTTCTACTCACATTAGTCTCTTTGAAACCAGAAGTTGTTTTCTCAGCTCTCCTTGGGATAGTGGCCACATCATTAACAGCCCACAACATTTGCTCCAACTCAGGCAGCCAAGCGAGTCATCTTGCTGTCAGGAACGCCTGCCATGTCACGCCCCGCAGAGCTGTATACTCAGATCGCAGCTGTTCGACCGTCTTTCTTCCCACAGTTCCAAGCATTCGCACTCCGCTACTGTGACGCCAAGAAGGTAACTTTGGTATACTTCTAGTTGGAGTCAGATCTAATTTGCCCTTGGATGACTTAAAATCAATATGGTCTTTTCCTTTTAGTGAAGCCAGGGCTTTCTTACTGTCCCTTGTAATGTACTATGTTCATATCGGCATTCGGAAGTCTCGTTCCTGGGAGGTAATAAGAGATAATTTGCATCTTTTCTTGAAAGCTTTTGAAGTTCCAGGTAGATCTTGGAGAAACAACACTATTCTACTTGCAGTATCCTTTTGGTGAAGACTGCCCTTTGAAAGGACAGTCTTCTGCAATGGGAGGTGACTGTAGCACAGTGGAAGAGCACAGTGGGGATCTGAATTTTGAGATTGAATTCATTGTTATTCATTAGGTAAAGGTCAAGGTTTCCATTGCTCGAAAGCCAGTTGAATCCGACTCTAGGGATGCGGTGCTCATCTCCGTTTCCAAGCCAAGGAGCCAGTGATTATCCAAAGACATTTCCGTGGTCATGTGGCCGGCATGACTAGACGCTAAGGCACACGGAACGCTGTTACCTTCCCACCGAAGTGGTCCCTATTTATCTACTTGCAATTTCTTGCTTTCGAGCTGCTAGGTTGGCAGGAGCTGGAACTAGAGACGGAGCTCACTTCGTCATGCGGCACTCGGGTCTCGAACTGCTGAACTACCAACCTTCCAGTCTGCAGTTCAGCGTCTTAACCACTTGAGCCACCTCAGCCCCTTGTTATTCATTAGGGGCTGGCAATAGTCAGCTTGATTTTTGGGATGTAGCTGCTGGCTTTTCTCTTGGGGGATGACGAAGTGCTCTGGAGAACCTGAAAACTTGCACTCACTGTTGTGTGATTTGGTCTGGCCCTTAATAGAAGATGTTCCATGGTTTTGGATTAAGGAAAGAACTGCAGGCTGTGGAAGGTCGGTAGTTCAGCAGTTCGAGACCCGGGTGCCGCATGATGGAGTGAGCTCCCATCTCTAGTTCCAGCTCCTGCCAACCTAGCAGTTCGAAAGCAAGAAATTGCAAGTAGATAAATAGGTACCGCTTCGGTGGGAAGGTAACAGCGTTCCGTGCGCCTTGGTGTTTAGTCATGCCGGCCACATGACCACGGAAACGTCTTCGGACAGCGCTGGCTCTTTGGCTTTGAAATGGAGATGAGCACCACAACCCTAGAGTCGGACTCAACTGGCTTTCGAGCAAGGGGACCTTAAGGGGATCAGGAAGAGGTCCCGGCTAAGATCATTTTTTAATCTTAAATAACCTTTTAATAATGTCCCCCAGAGGCTTCTGCGCAATTTCCTTTCATTGTTAATGGCTCAGCTTGAGTGGGTAGTCAATTGTCACAGGTCTTTTCCAAGACTGAGTCAGATTGAGGTGACGAGAGAGGAGGTCCTAAAACTGATAGACAACTCAAAAACTGATAAATCACCTGGCCCAGATGGCATACATCCAAGAGTTCTGAAAGAACTCAAATGTGAACTTGTGGATCTCCTGACAAAAATATGTAATCTTTCCTTAAAATCTGCCTCCATTCCTGAGGACTGGAAGGTAGCTAATGTCACTCCCATCTTTAAAAAGGGTTCCAGAGGAGATCCGGGAAATTACAGGCCAGTCAGTCTGACGTTGATACCGGGTAAATTGGTAGAAACCATTATTAAGGAAAGAATTAGTAGGCACATAGATGAACAAAACCTATTGAGGCAGACTCAGCACGGTTTCTGTAAGGGAAGATCTTGTCTCACTAACCTGTTAGTGTTCTTTGAGGGGGTGAACAAACATGTGGACAAGGGGGATCCAATAGATATTATTTACCTTGACTTCCAGAAAGCTTTTGATAAAGTTCCTCATCAAAGGCTCCTAAGCAAGCTCAAAAATCATGGGATAAAAGGACAAGTCCTTTTATGGATCAAAAACTGGCTAATTAATAGAAAACAGAGTGAGTATAAATGGGCAATTTTCTCAGTGGAGGGTGGTAAGCAGTGGGGTACCGCAGGGATCAGTACTTGGTCCACTGCTTTTTAACTTGTTCATTAATGATGTGGAGATGGGAGTAAGCAGTGAAGTGGCTAAATTTGCGGATGATACAAAGTTGTTCAGGGTGGTGAAAACCAGTGAGGATTGTGAGGCACTCCAAAGGGATCTGTCAAAGATGGGCGAGTGGGCGTCAACATGGCAAATGGGGTTCAATGTGGCCAAGTGCAAGGTGATGCACATTGGAGCCAAAAATCCTAAATATAAATACACATTGATGGGGTCTGAACTGGCAGAGACTGAGCAAGAGAGAGATCTTGGAGTTGTAGTAGATAACTCACTGAAAATGTCGAGACAGTGTGTGACTGCAATAAAGAAGGCCAATGCTATGCTGGGGATTATTAGGAAGGGTATTGAAAACAGATCAGCCAATATAATAATGCCCCTATATAAATCAATGGTGAGACCTCATTTGGAATACTGTGTGCAGTTCTGGGCACCACACCTTAAAAAGGATATTATAGCTTTGGAAAAAGTGCAGAAAAGGGCAACTCGAATGATAAAAGGGTTGGAACACTTTCCCTATGAGGAAAGGTTAAAGCGCTTAGGGCTCTTTAGCTTGGAGAAAAGACGACTGAGGGGTGACATGATCGAGGTTTATAAGATTATGCATGGGAAAGAGCAGGTAAAGAAAGAGGTACTTTTCTCCCTTTCTCACAATACAAGAACTCGTGGGCACTCCATGAAACTGCAGAGCGGTCGGGTTAGAACGGATAAAAGGAAGTACTTCTTCACCCAAAGAGTGATTAACACATGGAATTCACTGCCACAGGAAGTGGTGGGTGCTACAAGCATGGACGGCTTCAAAAGGGAATTAGATAAGCATATGGAGCAGAGGTCCATCAGTGGCTATTAGCCACAAGGTATAGCTAGGGGCTCTGGGGCAAGTGATGCTCTGTCTTCTTGGTGCTTGGGGGGGGGTCAACAGTGGGAGGGCTTCTAATGTCCTGGCCCCACTGCTGGACCTCCTGATGGCACTGGTATTTCTGGCCACTGTGTGACACAGAGTGTTGGACTGGATGGGCCTTTGGCCTGATCCAACATTGGCGTCTCTTATGTTCTTATGTTCTTAAATGTAGGAGCAGGACCAGGGTACTTTAATCCATCAGGGA